CGTTTAGCAATAAAGTAAAGTAATTACATGGCGTTTCTTGATGACACGCAGGTCATATAAAAGAATAAATTCAACTCCTATGGCTCCTGTCGGTTGTCATACTCATCGACATGCAAGTCGTGATTCCTATTACAATAGCATGAACATCTCATACATCACATATAGATCATTCATCATTCATCACAACTTTGGCCATATCATATCACAAACCACTTGCTGCAAAAACAAGTTAGACGTCCTCTAATTGTTGTTGCAAGTTTTACGTGGCTGAATTAGGGTTCTAGCAAGAACGTTTTCTTACCTACGTTAAAGCCACAACGTGATTTGTCAACTTCTATTTACCCTTCATAAGGACCCTGTTCATCGATTCCGCTCCAACTAAAGTAGGAGAGACAGACACCCGCCAGCCACCTTATGCAACTAGTGCATGTTAGTCGGTGGAACCGGTCTCACGTAAGCGTACGTGTAAGGTTGGTCCGGGCCGCTTCATCCCACAATACCGCTGAAGCAAGAAAGGACTAGTAACAGCAAGAAAGTTGACAAATCGACGCCCACAACAAATTGTGTTCTACTCGCGCAAGAAGAACTACGCATAGACCTAGCTCATGATGCCACTGTTGGGGAACGTTGCAGAAAACAAAAATTTTCCTACTCGTTTCACCAAGATCATCTAGGAGTTCATCTAGCAACGAGTGATTAGATGCATCTACATACCTTTGTAGATCGCGCACGGAAGCGTTCAAAATAACGGTGATGATGTAGTCGTACTCGACGTGATCCAAATCACCGATGACCAGCGCCGAACGGACGGCACCTTCGCGTTCAACACACGTACGGGACGGGAGACGTCTCCTCCTTCTTGATCCAGCAAGGGGGGAGGAGAGGTTGATGAAGATCCAGCAGCACGACGGCGTGGTGGTGGATGCAGGGCGTCACAGCAGCAGGGCTTCGCCGAGACTACGAGGGAGAGACGTAACGGGGGGAGATGGAGGCGCCAGGGGCTGGTCTGAAATCCCTCCTCTTCCCCCCACTATATATAGGGGTGCCAGGGGGGCGCCGGCCCTAGTAGATGGCATCTACTAGGGGGGGCGGCGGCCAAGGGGAGGTTTCCCTCCCCCCCAAGGCACCTAGGGGTGCCTTCCACCACATGGACTCTTCCATGGTGGAAACCCTAGGCGCATGGGCCTATAGGGGCTGGTGCCCTTGGCCCATCTAGGCCAAGGCGCACCCCCTACAGCCCATGTGGCCCCCCGGGACAGGTGGCCCCACCCGGTGGACCCCCGGGACCCTTCCGGTGGTCCCGGTACAATACCGATAACCCCGAAACTTGTCCCGATGCCTGAAATAGCACTTCCTATATATAATTCTTTACCTCCGGACCATTCCGGAACTCCTCGTGACGTCCAGGATCTCATCCGGGACTCCGAACAACATTCGGGTTTCTGCATATACATATCTTCATAACCCTAGCGTCACCGAACCTTAAGTGTGTAGACCCTACGGGTTCGGGAGACAAGCAGACATGACCGAGACGACTCTCCGGTCAATAACCAACAGCGGGATCTGGATACCCATGTTGGCTCCCACATGCTCCACGATGATCTCATCGGATGAACCACGATGTCGAGGATTTAATCAATCCCGTACGCTATTCCCTTTGTCTATCGATATGTTACTTGCCCGAGATTCGATCGTCGGTATCCCAATACCTCATTCAATCTCGTTACCGGCAAGTCACTTTACTCGTACCGTAATGCATGATCCCGTGACCAGACACTTGGTCACTCTGAGCTCATTATGATGATGCATTACCGAGTGGGCCCAGTGATACCTCTCTGTCATACGGAGTGACAAATCCCAGTCTTGATCCATGTCACCCAACAGACACTTTCGGAGATACCCGTAGTCTACCTTTATAGTCACCCAGTTACGTTGTGACGTTTGGCATACCCAAAGCACTCCTACGGTATCCGGGAGTTACACGATCTCATGGTCTAAGGAAAAGATACTTTGACATTGCAAAACTCTAGCAAACGAACTATACGATCTTGTGCTATGTTTAGGATTGGGTCTCGTCCATCACATCATTCTCCCAATGATGTGATCTCGTTATCAATGACATCCAGTGTCCATAGTCAGGAAACCATGACTATCTGTTGATCAACGAGCTAGTCAACTAGAGGCTCACTAGGGACATGTTGGTGTCTGTTATTCACACATGCATTACGATTTCCAGATAACACAATTATAGCATGAATAAAGACAATTATCATGAACAAGGAAATATAATAATAATGCTTTTATTATTGCCTCTAGGGCATATTTCCAACACTAACAACACCCAATAGCCACTAGCCTAACAAGAGGTCCCCGAACTGAGGAATAAAGATACATACGAGAGGCCAACTTTCCACACTTTTGTTTTAGTTCTTAGTTTATAGTTTCTAATAAAGCATATCTTTAAAAAAATTCCATAGAGTGGGAGGACCGATGAAATGGAAAATAACCACTACAACTCCAACGTGCGATCACATTTGGTCTGTCCACGTCCGTTTGGGTCGAAACAGACAGAAATCACAGTCCAACGCGGCGACCAAACTAACAAGCGTCCATTTTTCATCCGCCCGCGACCCATTTATGGCCCAAATTTGGCCAGGGTTTGCGCAGGCGCGGAGGCATGCGACGTCTGTCCTTGTCCTCTTCCTGGCCCGCCCGTCGGTGGCACGTATGACATTCTCCCCTCCCCCTCCATACCCAACACCATTCGGCCTCACCGCTGCCACCCACTTCCGGCCGCCGCTCCCAGGCCTCCTCTCACATCCACCTACTCCCCCACCTCAACGTCGCATCTGAGGCACATTCTTGACGCATTGGTGGCCTCTTCTCGCCGCTGTTGGTGCCAGGGAAGCCATGGTCGCCAGCACTGACCTCCCCTCCACTTCCACCGGCCTCAGCTCCGCACTCGCCTCCCCTTCGATAGGTCTGCTGCCTGTACAGTAAAGGCGCGTGGCTTTTCACCGGCGACTACTACAGCACACCTAAAGGTGTTGGGGGCTTTGCCCTCAAGGTACAATGGCTAGTGGGGATGAATTCTTTTTCAACAACTTCATTTGTGATTTGGACGATTTGTCGTTGGATCAAGAAGATTTTGTAGTTGCTACTTTGATCGTCAACGGACACATTGCTAGGCAGCGACCGAGATTCAGGGTATCCATTTTGGGCCATGCTCCGACGTTGAATCAAAATAGAGAGATAGTAGACATTGCCTACTCTTCGCCGACTACTTTCAATGCACGTCCCCACTCTTCAGTCCTAAGCATTTCTAGCACCGCTTCCGGATGGTGACATGTGTTTAACCGTATTCGGGAGGGATGGTGGCGCATGATGATTACTTTAGACGCAAAGAGGATGCCCTTGGAATGGTTGGCTTCTCCTCTTATATCAGAATGCACCGCGGTTGTTCGGATGCTTGCATATGGAATTCACGGTGATATTGTTGATGAGTATCTCTGCATAAGCAAGTCCACATGCCTTGCATCACTGTACAAGTTCTGCAAGGCTGTGGTAGCAGTGTTTGGCCCGGAGTACTTCAGAGAGCCAAATGCTATAGATACAAGCCAGTTGTTAGGGATCGGTGTAGAGAGAGGCTTTTCGGGAATGCTTGGTACCATAAATTGTATGCATTGGGAGTGGAAGAATTGTCTGTTTGCTTGACAGGGACAATATAAGGGGCACGTGAAAGCTTGCACTTCATACTTTGAAGTTGTGGCTTCACAAGATATCTGAGTTTGGCACTCTTTTTTAGGTATGATTGAGTATCGCAATGAAATCAACGTGTTTCAACGCTCTCCGGCATTTGGAAGGCTTGCAGAAGACAATTGCCCAGAGGTGAACTTTGAGCTCAATAAGCACCACTACAACAAAGGATACTACCTAGTGAATGATATCTATCTTCATTGATCAACTCTTGTGAAGACAATCTCCAATCCGATAGTAGAGAAGAGGTATAGGTTTGCCTAAGCACAAGAGTTCATCCAATTTCATACAGAAATACATGATTAGGAAACTCACATCCAACTCCAAAATGACTTGGTTGAGCACATGTGGGCTCACCTTGGCAACCAATATATGTATTGGTTTTTTTCTTTCAATGTATTTATGACAATTTAAATTTAGTTGTAAATTATGAGTTTTTTATTTGGTTGTAAAGTATTTATTATTGTCGTGTAAAACTATGTGATTTATTTGGTTGTGCAATGTTAGTTCAGATATATGCATGAAAAAATTGTGCATATTTGGCCGCTGGCCGACCGGGCGAATCAAATGGGTCGGCGGATTGAGCGCACTTCCACGAAAACATAAACCAGGCCGGACGCCGCCTCTTTGACGGACCCAGTGAACAAAAGAGGGACCAAATTCACATAAGTTTGAATTGTCGCGTTGGAGTTAGCCTTATCTCCCCTTTATTGACGTGAAGATGTTTAATGATTCACCCAGGCACATCCTGATCACACACTTTTTTTGAGCACATCCTGAGCACACACTTCACCCAGTGCATCGCGACCACACCTCACCGTCGGCCCAGGCCCAAGCCCAGCCTTTGACAATCGATAGGCGGCGGAGGCCGCCAGCAGGCAGGTAGCGGCGTACATCCACGTCCACGTCGTCATCCATCTCTCTCCCTCAACCGTAATCCCACCTCCCCAACGCCGCGCATTCAAATCCTTGATTTCCCGGCCCCATCCTCCCGCGTGTGGACCAGGTTTCCTGGCGCGCGAACCGTTGGCCACGATGGAGCGTCGCGTTATCGCGAGCCTATCCGGTGTGGCGCCGGGGGGATGAGGGCGCCCGGTGCCAGTGGCCGGCATCCACCGGCCGTGGCGAGCCGCACGCCGCCGCGCGCACCGCACCCGGCCCTGGGGTGTTTGTCCGCACGCACGCGCTCCGCGCACTATTTGTTGCGCGTATAAGGAGGGCAGCAGGCACTGCCCATCTGCACAATGTCGACCGCCGCGGCTAACTGGTGCTACGCAACCGTAGTCGCGCCCCGTGCCCGCTCCTCCACCATCGTCGCCAGCCTCGGCACCCCCGCGCCCTCCAACTCCTCCTCCTTCCGCCCCAAGCTCATCAGGAACACCCCCGTCCAGGCCGCCCCCGTCGCACCCGCATTGGTACGTACTACGCACGTTCGCAGCTGCATGCACCATGCATATCGTTTCCTCTATCCGGCCGGCAGAGCCCTTGTTAAGCTTGGCTAAGTTTGGCACCATGGCGTGTCCTTTGCTGTTTTGGGAACGACGTACGTGGGTCACTCACGGGTCCCCTTGCTCCACGCCACATGCCTAGATCTTCTTCCCACAATATGGGAGAACGGCATGCAAGGTCTAGAGGTAACCAAAATGCATGTGATGGCTCAACCAAATGCACCTTATTTTCGACCTCAAAAAACCAAAACGCATTACTGCTGCACAGTTGACCAGCTCTGCACATGGGGCTTGCATGTCGCCATGATCCCCTATACTCTTGCAACCTTTTCTATTTATGCGAACGCAATCATTGAATATTATATATATGGATCTAACAGACAAAAGGCATTGTGTTTTTAGTCCTCTCTGCATCCACCATCAACATGCATGTCAACAAACTGGATAGAATATATGTGGGATGAACATGAACGGGTTTCCAGAGAGGTGGCCAGCGATAATGTTAGTTTAACACAATAATGTGCTCTGGGTTGAAAATAACTCCACAAAGTCTCAAGTGTACAGGACAAAGTTTATACTAGCGCATAAACATGTAGCGGCAGCTTTTCCTTAAAGCAATAAGGTGGAGTCTATCGGGCATTATTGCTAGGTAAGACTGAAAGGACACCAATTAAGCTAGGTCTACTCTATGTTTCTAGCACTCTCTTGGTTCTTGGAGAAAAATGACCATACTTTGGCTTTGATGTTGAGTAGTTTGACTTTGATCCGCAAAAGCTTGCAGAAATACTAACGACTAGGTCATCCACTGCGTCAGCTTCCTATTCTTTTTTTTTTTTGATATAAGAAGCTTCCTGTTTTCCTCTTTTTGAGTTTTCAAACACCACCAAGGCAAGTTACTACACTAAATCCAACTCGAAGGATATAAGAAATCTTCATTTATTTCAATAAAACAAACAGTAAGTGCAGAAATATCAAATAATCTACATGAAACACGTTAACTATGGAGTCGTTAAGGCAGTTGTTACTTTGGCTTATCTAAGTAAGTAAAGTAAGGTACTCCTAAGCTAGGTCTACTCAATGTTTCCATTCTCTTGATTCTTGGAGAAAGATGTCCATCCTTTGTCTTGATGTTGAGTTGAGTAGTTTGACTTGGGATAGCAAAAGCTTGCAGAAATAACGACTAGGTCATCCACTCCGTCAGCTTCCTATGTTTCCTCTTTTCGAGTATTCAAACACCACCTATGCAAGCTACTACTACACTTAATCCAACCCGAATGTTATAACAAATCCTCATATTTATATTAATATTTCATTTGAAGGAAACAAAGAGCCAGTGCATTACCAAGCTTTTACGTAGGAGATTGTACATAAAAACGTGTTAACCATATGTAGGAGGAGGCCTGATATTTTGTTGGTATCAACGTCACAACGGTACACGTAGTGATGTGATATCGATGCAGAGGTTGAAGCTGATTGCAACCCTCAACCATGTGTGGTTGTAGTACCATATCCAGCTTCTCCAGCTGAGATGTCAACAAAGAAAGAATCCTGCATATATGTCGCCCCAATGTTTTAATCTTCTCTCGCAAAAAAATTAAAAATAATGTTTTAATCTTATTGGCAGTTCATTCTAAAGAATGGGCTGAAATATTATTTGGCATCATACATCATGCTCCATGCATGTAAAAAACGAGCAGAAACGCCGTTAAAGAAAAAGAAAGCAAGCAGTTGCCGTTGGACTTGGATCGGCGACTGCTTTGGGCAGCAGACGCGGGCCGGAAGGAGTCGTGGCGGAGATTCAGGAGGGCTCGTCGTCGACTGAGGAGGAGGGAGGGAGGGAGGGAGGGAGCAAGGTTCCAATAATTCAGGAAGCGGTGGTCTGGGCAGTTGGTACGGGAGGGATAGAGGCGTCAATTCAGGGGGCCCCGCAGGTGGAACTCGTGGCCGGGCGGCCCTTCCGCGGCCCCGGCATCTGGAATTAGCGTACCCGACGTTGGTTGAGTAGAGAGAGGAGCCCAGCACATTACTACCAATTGCCAATTTTCTTGTTGCCAATTGTCCTTGGATCTGGGAGCCGGTGATTACCCCAGGCCCACCTTCACCCATGCACCTGACCTGGGCAAGCGCAAGCGCTTCTGGCCTGGGGATCTGAGATACTACTGCTGCTCAACTAGGCACTAGGCAGGCAGCACACAATTGAAGGCATGTCCAACCTGCATATGCTTTGACTTGTGAACTGTGTCCACACCCTAGGCCTAGTGGCAATTGCATCACGCGCCAGCTACCGTCTTCCTTGTTTCGTAGTACAGTACTAGCTTTCTCTAGACGCATTTCCTCGTATTTATTTAATTCCATGAATAATAAGATTATAAAGTACTAGTACTCCAAAAGGATAAAGATAAGGATGCCCGGTCACCATGAATTCACGGGCTTAATGATCTGATCAAAACATACCAAAAGAAAGAAAGAGAAAGAGAACCGCTGCCATTGCGATGGGCCATTTGGCCACAAAGCCGGCCAGCCCCTCCTCCTTTGCTGCTAACTTCTTTCGTTGCCTTCTTCTTTCCACGTGCCGTGTTTGCCAGTAATCCATCCATCCATCCATCGGGGAGAAGAGAGAAAACCCAAAAGAGTAGAGTCGCGAACGCGAGCGCGATAGTTGAAGATGAGCGGCTGCCTGTGCCTCCCCTGCTGCTATAAGAAGCCCTCCGCCCCCGGTGGGGAGAACACAACTCCCCCAGCAGCAGCGATAGATTCTTCCTCCTCGTCACTCCTCCAGAAGCCTACCTACCATCCACCACCTCCTCCACCCTCCAACAAGGTCCGTCTCCCTCCTCTCCCTTCCTCCCCCTCCCCCACACACCACCCGTAAACTGCTCCATCCATCCATCCATCTCTTCTTTTTCCGTTTCCTTTTCGGCCGCCCCCCTTTCGATTCAGTTCACAGCTTGCCCTTTCAGCTTTTCTTTCTTTTTTGTTGCTGTTGTAAAGCATTTAGTTATCCTCTTGAATCGCCTTTGCTTGCGCACGCTCTCCCTTTCCGTGGGCACAGCTCTCTCTCTCTCTCTCTCTCTCTCTCTCTCGAAATTCGCATGATGCATATCGAGTGTTTATTTGTTTCTTCTTGCTGCGAGTGTGTGGCGACGCGACGGCAACTAATTTGGTGTTGATCCTCTCCTCTCCTCCCCTTGCAGATGGACGCCGCCGTGGAGCGCCTCAAGACCGGGTTCGAGAAGTTCAAGACCGAGGTCTACGAGTAAGTTCACCCCCAATCCTGTTCCTGTCCTGCCGCTTCGACTGATGATGGTTTCTTTGCTTCGATTTGAGTCTTCTTCTTCTTCTTCTTCTTCTTCTTCTTCTTCTTCTTCTTCTTCTTCAACTGATTGTCTGTCCGTTTCCGTTTCCGTTTCCTCTTTGCAGCAAGAAGCCCGATTTCTTCGAGCCCCTCAAGGCCGGCCAGGCGCCCAAGGTATGTACCGCATCCATCATTTCCTTGAGCCAATGTTGTCTCTAGCAGCTGGAGTACTCTTGTTATATTTGTTCTGTTGTGGTAGCAGAAGAGTGTTTAGTCTTTAGCGCAGCAGCGGAAGAAGTCCTCTGTTCGCATTAGCCTGCCGTTCGGCGCATAACCCGGAACACACTCTGTGGGTGCCCATAGCATTTCCTGATGCGGTCAAAGCAGATGAAACGCTTGTCCTAATTGCATGGCCTGGCCGTAAGAGGGGACAGCTTGTCGCCATTGCCAGCCAGTTGATACTTGATACTAGGTTATGTGTTAACACAACCACTACTGTACTAGCGTACCAAAGATGGGCGGTAGGCAATCTCAGGCTGAAACCAGTACAGTTGTGGATCTCCCTCCGAATAAACCCCCACCTGTCGTGCACATCCAGGAAATCGGATCGCGCCGCGGTAACGACTCCCATGTGCACGGCGATGCCATGATATGATTTGGCTTATTGAGATGTTTTTTTTTTGACCCAAGGCTTATTGAGATGTCACCGTCTTTGTGGTCTTGTGGCATTAGAATATGGTTCTTTTTCCCCCTTTTCTGTTGTTGTAGCAGCTAGGATAAATTGACGCTCAGAATCTTGCAAGTACAAGAAGAAGCGTTTTATTTTCCCTCTCTTCTGGATTCTCTTCTCCATTGGCGTGCTTGCCAATGCAGTCGTTGAGGTTCCCTTGGCTGGCTGTGTTGAATTTCGATCCCAGCCGTCTCAGTTGCAGCTATCCTTTTTTCTTTGAGAAAAAATGGCCGTCACCCCGCACTATCGGAGTTGAAGATGAAGGTCTTTTGATGATGTCCATTTATATGGAAGCTTCATCATCTTGGCACCGGCCGCGTCGGACCCCACGCGCAAGAACCGTGAGCGGCAAGTCTTGCTCCGTCCTCGCTCGGGGTATTATTTATTGTAAGCAGAGAAGAAGTACTACCTGAGAACAGGGCATAGCTAGCTGGAGCTGCCAGTGTATGGCTATGGCGCTGCCGCTTTGCGTGGTACTCCATGATTAAGCAGGCCCTACCCTACCATGGAGGGGGCTATCAATCGGTGGACCACCCATTACAGTCACAGATTAATGCGTGTGTGGACGGAGCCTTACGAAAGAGTTTGGCGCCTACATACATATGTTTGGCCGTATCCTTTAAGAGATTGGCATATGCTTATCTTTATCAGTCAGGTTGGCCTATGCAAGCACCGAGTGCCTCTCGCAGCAGTACTACCTGACCTGAGAGATCGGTTAAGGCCCAAAGGCTGCTTTACAGGGAGACGGTAATACTGTAATCCACAGCTGATGATCCGTGCCACATCCCACAGCAGTGCTGCTACTGCAGGAAGAAAAGATCCTACAGTAGTACTTCCGGCGTGTCGCCATCGGAGGAGCAAGCTGCGGCGCGTGAGCAGTGGGCCTGGCTTCATTTCTTGCACAAGAAACCGCCGGTGGTCCTGTCTTCTTGATAACTCACACAAAGGCCTGGCCCATAATCAAGTCCTTCGTCGGGTCTGGTCTACTGTCACGCGTCATAATCAAGTGTTTAGTCGGTAATTTGGTTTGGAAATAGAAGCCTGTGTACTGTCCAGTAGGCGTGCCACGGAGGGAACCTTGCCGCTACTTGCTTGCCTCGCCTTTCTGTCTCCTGTGCCGTACGTCTCCGGTTCCTTCTCGCGAGCCCCTCTGCATGCCTCCCCTCTGGATAAAAAGTGGGTATGCTGGGCCGGAGACAGGTCAAAAGCGGCGGCCTTTAGCGCAAAGCTGTGTGTGTGTGTGTGTGTGTCAGAAGGAAGGAAACGCCTACTCCACCTATCACTCGTATTATCAGCACATCTGCTTATATTTGTTTATGCGCTGAACAACGCATCTGCTTATCACTAACCACTGTGAGTGAAATGCTCGCTAATATAACACCCCACAAAGTGGATTCAGTGCTTATTATGCTTAGTACTACTAGTGGAGCATCTTTTCTTTTATTTTCTTTGTTCCTTGATGATGATGATTGACCTGGTGGTGGTGATTGGCTGCGCAGTACATGGTGTTCGCGTGCGCCGACTCCCGTGTGTGCCCCTCGGTCACCCTGGGCCTGGAGCCCGGCGAGGCCTTCACCATCCGCAACATCGCCAACATGGTCCCCTCCTACTGCAAGGTCCCGCCCCGTTTCCCTCTTCCTCTTTTTTTCTTTCTCATCGCCGAGCTGCATTTTTGACGATATTTCTTTGTCAACTACAGAACAAGTACGCCGGTGTTGGATCGGCCATCGAATACGCCGTCTGTGCTCTCAAGGTCAACTCCCTCCCCCTCTCTCTCTTTCTTTCTCTGGTGCTGTCGCTTCTAAAATAGGAGTGCCATAATGCATTATTGCCCTAGTGGACTTTGCTGTCACCCAACTACTAGTATAAGAACAAGTGAACATGGGCACTGTCTGTATTTTAGAGCATGGCCTGATATGGACTTTACTTTCGGCTGCAGGTTGAGGTCATCGTGGTGATTGGCCACAGCCGCTGCGGTGGAATCAAGGCTCTGCTCTCACTCAAGGATGGCGCAGACGACTCCTTGTAAGTACCACTAGAGTAAAACGGCTCACATCTTACTCCAGCTAACGCTGCTACCGTCTCTCCGATCAGTTTCTGACTGTCTATTTGGTTGGTCTTGGTCAGCCACTTCGTCGAGGACTGGGTCAGGATCGGCTTCCCGGCCAAGAAGAAGGTGCAGACTGAGTGCGCCTCCATGCCTTTCGATGACCAGTGCACCGTCCTCGAAAAGGTTCGCACCATTGCCCATCTGCCATCTCATACTTTGCTCATATATTACTCCTATTGGCAGTACTGTAGACTTCGCAATTCTGCATGTGGTTTGTCTAACTGATGATTGGTACGCTGACCAAGGGATATTTCTGAATTGTTTCCACAGGAGGCAGTGAACGTGTCCCTCCAGAACCTCCTGACCTACCCGTTCGTCAAGGAGGGTGTGTCCAACGGAACCCTCAAGCTGGTCGGCGGTCACTACGACTTCGTCTCCGGCAAGTTCGAGACATGGGAGCAGTGAATCTTCCCCAGCGGTTAACTCCTATATATACATGCGAATGCAAACGCGTACATATATCAAGATATCGTCCGACCGACCGATGTGAATCCAATGCCATGGAGTGCGTACTCGTTGTTTTCCAGTACTGGATGCCGGGATGGCCCGATGTGAATTCGCCATAAGCAATAGAACCCTTTTTCTTTTACCATTTTCTGACGAGGAATTGTACTACCCGTGTGATGCATAATTTGATCGTCCTGTGATCAAAAGACATCATATATAAGTTTAATAATATTTTCATGAACAGTTTACCCCTTTTATTACCCTTTGTCCTTGTGGTTTTCCGTCTTGTGTCTGGCACTGCTTAGCTGTTTGCCCAACCCAAGAAACAGTTTGTACTACTGTATATCTGAAGGAACCGAAATTGACTAAAGGCAATATACAAACTTACTGAAAGATTTGAGGTCTTGCAGTAATGTCTTGATTACTAATGACCTCGACATCGGAATTACATAGTCGGTAATCTATGCTCATGTGTAGGAACTATCTTCAGTTTCATTTTTTTTTCCAGAAAGAAAGGTCTGTCCACCTTTCGGACTCTTTTCATCCGTGAGTTGGATATTGTTTGTGCAAAACTAATAGTTGCGCTCAGCTCTGTCAGCTGTCAATTTCCAGTCTCCGGCGCCTTAGTGCATATCAGTCTAAAAGGATCCATCACATTTCATTACTCGGTGCAAAATGACAAACTTGAAAAATGCAATTGATGGAAAAAATTGACAAGACTATCTACGGAGTAGTATTACTTAAGCAAGTAGACATATATATACCACACACCATATTGACCAAAAAAAAATGGAAGAGGGATCGAGGACTAAAAGGATAGAGGTATCTTTTTTTTGACATGAAGGATTGAGGTATCTGGGTTCTCCTGCTTCGATCTAGAGTGGCTGTGATTCATGTTTGAGCGCAGAAACGCGAGAGACTGGCAATTAACAGTAATGAAAACCGTGTCTTTGGGTTAGATGACTGTTATATATAGCACTTGAAGAGACAAATGTGAATAGGGAAACGCCTTTACAGGATATGTCGGTTTGAGTTGGAACCGATACGATGGTGGCTGAGGGCATGTACAATGGTGCTATCTTAGAAGTGCCATGTAGGATAAATGATGACGTGAAGGAGAGAGGACTCATAAGAAAAGGCGTGTCTTATCTTATTTAAGAGAAGACAAGAGATGATCTCTTAGCATAATATGTCCCACCACGTTTTTAGGAATGACTAGTTATTGAAGATAAAGCTAAGAAACGGCCCATTGTAGACATTTCATTTTGTCATCTCTAAAAATTACATGCACATATTAAGATAAGACTATCTTATCAACCATTGTACATGCCCTGAAAGGCAACCGCCTGCGATTTATTACAAGCAGGAGTTTAATCCCTTAATTGTAGTTAATTAATGGACCCTAATAACTGGGGAATGTTCAAAGGGGAGGAGGCATCTGCGAACTAATCCTTTCAAAGGGGGGGGGGTCGATTTCATTGACTGGAAAGAGCCCCCCCTATGTATCTTTTTTTAGGGGTGAAACAAACTTTATTCACCGAAAGCCACATGAAGTGGGATACAGCTCGAGTCGTGGGGTTGTCCCAACCAAATGTGGCGCCCTGGACCGAGATTAAGAGAGTACTTAGCTAGCCTGTGTGCTTCATAATTCATAGCACGACCTTCAAACGTAAAATTACATTGAAACATAGAAAGCTCTAAGAGTTATTTCATGGATGATAGACCCGTTCTTCCCTCTGCTGCCTTGAGAGATGTCCGATATTGTTTGTTTGGAATCCGAGGCGACAACAAAATTCTGCAAATTAAGATCTTCTGCTAGCGCTAAAGCCTCTCGGCAGGCTATCGCCTCCAGTATCGCCGGTTCACATAGACCTGCGATCACGAGTGAGGAGCTCCCCAAATAATTTCCTTGTCTATCCCGACAGACAGCAACTGCCAATCCGCTCCTTCTAGTCCTCACGCCTGCATCCACATGATTTTTTGCAAAACCAGCAGGTGGGGCCTTTGGGCGAGTAGGGAGTGCAGTGGAAGCACCCCGCTGGGTTGTCGATCCTCTATTCTCATTCACCATATTTAGCTCCTCGATGAATCTCGTGACAAAGGCCTGGGTACCCTGCGGTGTTTGAAAAATTCCTTCATGAATCGCCTTACGCCGAGCCGTCCAAATAGCCCAGAGTGTGACAATCAGAAGAACGAACTGATCATATGGTAATGATTCCATCAGGGTAAACAACCACTGCTTAGCATTCGGCTCCGTTGATGTTACTAGCTTATGAGTTAGCTCCTCATCAACTAGTGCCCATGTGCATCTTGATGTAGTACAGCTGATCAAAGAATGCCGCCAAGAGTCCAGGGAGCCGCATAAACCACATGATGAGTCATCTGCCATATGTCTATGCGTCCTAATGTCCTCTGTGGACAGAGAATGTTTAGCTAATCTCCAAAGAAACATCTTTACCTTGGCTGGTACATGGGTTTTCCACATCCTCTTCCATGATCCTTCCTCAGCGACGCCCAGTTGGGCCAAAAAAGGCCAATAAAGCCGATTTTTCTATTATACATTGCCGAAACTAACAAAAATTGTATGGGCTTCATTTTACAAACAACATCAAAATGCCATGATGTACATAATTTAAATGATTTCATGTACAAAATAATTAGGTGGTGTACATCCCAACACACACACACACACACACACACATTGCAGAAAAATCAAAAAATTGACATGCCGAAATTAGAAAAAAGAACATGTACATTGCCATCTCACAACCCCATTATTGAAAAAAGGAACAAAACTTTGATTTTTTAGCCGAAATAATAGAAATGACATGCTACATACAAATGAAAGTACCATGGGCTAGTTTATAAAAAAGAATGGCCTAACAATAAAAATGCCATGGTCTAAAAAATGCATGTCTAGTAATTGAATTGAATACTTTGAAGTTTCTTTATGTTGGATTTAGTACTTTAGATTTGAGATCACTTGATGAATGTCTAGTAATTAACTTGCGGATATCCGTGATGACATTGGAGTAATCTAGGCATAAATGTTGAACCATGCGTATCATATGGTGTTGTCGTATACGATCTCTAGGGATATCCATGACACTTTGGGGGTGATTCAATAGATTGATTAGAAATGCAACTTTGAGATGGTTTGTTACCTACGCGATTTCATCCTACTTTCTCCGATAGAATAGAAACTTTGGAGTGACTCTTTACTACACTTTGAGGGATTATCATGATGTTCAATTATGTTCATGATTTTGAGAGTTGGCACTAGTGAAAGTATGAACCCTCGGCCTTATTTCCAAGAATTGAGACACCGTTTTTATCTACCTTTGTTACTTTTTACCTTACTTTTTTTATTTGTTCAGACTATAAAAACCTATTTCTATCATCCATACTACACTTGTATTACGATTTCTTCACCAAACTAGTGCACCTATACCCAAGGGTTTTAGCCCTCCTTGGTTCACCAAACTTAGTGCACCTATACCAGGGGTGTTTGAGAGAGAACCATCTTTATCCTACACCTCCAACGGATTGATAAATGTTAGGTCATTCACTTGAGGGAAATTTATTGTTGTCCTACAAAACTCGGCACTTGGAGGCCCAACAAAGTCTGCAAGAAGAAAGTTACATAGTAGACATCACATATGAGTCAAGTTCCTTTTTACTTGTCTTTAATATCCGCCCTTAAGAAATTTACACTGTTGTTCTGTTGGCAGATGTAGCGACCCGATCTCAAATGGTCAAATCTCTGTTTCAGTGTCATCCCTGGATCGGTAATGCTGACACACACAGTACTCGAGGATTTATAACAGAGTAGGAATCACGCACTTATTACATCGAATGTCTCAAAAGAGAACTTATTACAATAAATATGGCTTAAGGCCATCTAATACGATAACATTAGAAGTCTTGGAAGATAAAATGAGTCCATCAACTCCAACGGCATAGCTGAGCTGCACGGCAACGACCTAACGAACCTTACTCTTCGTCTGAAAAGTCTTCAACATAATATGTTGCAGCCCGAAAACGGGTCAGCACATGGAATATGCTGGCAATGTAACACAGTAGAGCAAGAACATAATAATGCTATCACTCATGCATATTTGGCTGGTGGAAAGCTCTACGGTTAAAATTTGTGAAAAGCCAATTTTTCCCTACAACAACGGAATATACTTTATTTAACTATCATGGTAGTTGAAACATCATTGAGAAGGTTCCTCCAACTCAATCCCAATTAAAAGTAATTATTAACCCAACAATATTAATTTAGAGTGATGAGATACACATGATAATCCAAGTACTAGATACTCAAGATTGTCCATAACCGGGGACACGGCTATCCATGATTAGTCTATACACTCTGCAGAGGTTTGCGCACTTTTCCCCACAAGACTCGATCTCCTCCGTTGGATTTCTCGCACTACATTATGTTTGAGAAATGGATGATCGAGACACAGTTTTTCAGAAGCATTAACTTTCTACTCCGGATAGACTATACCACCTACAACCCACTACCTGCTAGTCTATCTCTTCAAGTGCTTCACACAATTTACTCAACTATGCTAGAGCTCATAATAGCTTGTGGCTGCACACGGAAGTTTCTAGCATGAAATATCTTGGTTCCCTTTGAGCCTGGGTGGCGGACCGTAGGATTATCACACGGGTACTCCGGGATATCCTAGGACAACATTGGATTCTCCAGGTGCCCAACAAGCAATCCACCCAGATGTGCATTAAAGTTGCCACCTTAAGTTGAACCATTAATTAACAATCTCACATCTGTCATGGTTTCACTCAAACTCAATCCACGTCTACGAGCATAGCATAGCAATATAAGCAATACGTAGAAGTAACTCCCAAGGGTTTAATAATAATAGGGCAATAGGTTCTACCTCATCAACTACTTCCCAACCCACATGTTATCAAGTCCTAACCATGCAATG